CGAAATCATCGCGTGACTTAAAATTGACTACTGGTTTTTTATTATATCGTTTTCTGTCCGTTCTGTTACTGGCCGGCGTTTCCCGTAAAAAGAAGACTGTTTAAAAGAGATCGTTGCAGCAGACTGCTGGGTCGTCATTTCCTATTTGGATTATTAATACTATGCATCCGCCAAGGACGAATATTATTTATTTGCGAACAGACTGCACGTCCTATTATTTCTCCCTCCCTATCAATTCTATTTCCAATTGGATATGCGTAAGCGAGCTCAATGAATCCCTTCTATCGTCGCCTTTTCCGAGGCAGAACTGCCTTTTTGTCTGCCTGGGGAGGCTGTATGTTCACTCAGTCTTTTTAAAGATCGGTTGGCAGGTTCCGATGGTAATCTTAACGCCCAAGATGAAACAAATGCTTATTACGATGACGGATATGAAGATAATTAGGCAATTCATATTGGCAGCTATAAATTTTAACAGACGACAACAGCATATCGTAAATAGGCAAAAGAGAATGCTCCACAGTTGCAAGCGCCACTTAGTCCCGTAGTGTGATAAAAATCCGACTGGTACCTGGCGAACATGCCTGGGGACTCGCTCACACTTCGTGCCATCGTATAGAACGAATCAAGTTGGTTTTCGGTGCTTATAAGCAGATGATTTCGGTGGACTCTTAACTGCTTGCATGATCGATACTCAGTCAAAAGACCTTTTCCCTACTTTCCACCTTTGACTTCTAATCTGTGAAATTCGTAGTTACCGATTCCGGCAGCCGATGTACCTCTAGTAGTTGAACAAATTGAGCTAGAAGAGTAAGTACCAGATTTTGTTCATTAAGGTGTAAATTGTTCAGCTAGATGTGCAAAAAGGAATACAGATTTGATCGTTCTCTGGCTAATTTATTAGTTTACGATAACCGGCATCGAAAAATTTCCCAAAACAGGTGTCAGGAAGCCGAAATTTATATGACAGTCTAAACTGCGACAGGGAGCGCAAAATGGACTAAAGGGTCAGTGTTGTTTATTGTTCCACCATAGTGAGAACCAGGCGTAGCTGTTGTACTGGGCGGTGCCTGGTGTCAGCGAGCGTCTGAACCATGTTTGCAAAAAATAAATAAGTGAGATCCAGGATATGGACCAACGTTTCACCATTGCCATTTCGAGGCAAGGTCACATGTGGCGCGGACATTCAGTTGACAAGGGGCATAGGTTTGTCAACAGAGATGTGGTCTTTAGCGGGCAGCCATCATGACCGGTCTGGCGTAATTGTTCAGGACCTCGCTGCCTCAGGATCATCCATCCTTTTGCGGTAAGCCGTTCCAGAACCGCTAACCTGAAGTCACACGACCGACAGCTCAAACATACCTGCGTCCGCACCGCCGCAGCTGTCCATGCGGCCACTTGAAATCACCTCCCCTTACAACCGCAACCTAAGCCACTGGGACATCCCCCCTCGGCAAATGCAACACATGCTGACTGGGCAGAACTCGAGCTTGGCCCACGAGCCCACAAAAGCGACTGCCACCACTGTCCCAGAGACTCTCAGGCATGAATATACGCAGTCAATACAAGCCCTGCCTCCTGAGAGGATGACTCCGGGTACTGTATACATTAAACCCCTCATTCTGGTGCCTTCCGTCTTCTTTCAACATGGGGTTTGACTTAATAATTGTAGCTCACAGACTACACACTCGCCCAGCTTGGTCACAACAGGTTAACCGGAGTTTATCGGAGCTGGGATATTAGACAACCGCATTGCGCCTTTCAGAACCGACAGAGAAGGATTTGCTGCTACCCAAAATCTCTGGTTCCAAAACGATGAAAAATGCGAACATATTTTTCACTTCGCTTTCTGTGTACGGAAAGGGTGGTTGCGTGACTTTTTGGTGAGAAAGAAGGAACCAAAGAAGTATGAGTTTGTGCTGCCATTGGCGATGTAGTGAAGGCGTTAAATTGTATTCAAGAGCACGAATGGTATGGAAAAATACATATCGCAGCAGAGAATAAGTGATCAGGGAACGCATCTCTAGGGCAGATAGGCAGCAACCTTTGGCGACCAACTCTGAGAGCGCCTTCTCTGCCACTATTATGAATGCGTCATGCATTTGGGTGCCGCGAGCTCACCCAGTTGTGTTAGGGTGTCCTACACACTCGATTCTATCAGAGATTTGTAGAAGTGCAGATTGTAAAGTCTTTTCGAGTGGGACTCTCAGATTGTGGATTGTCGTGGAAAGTGGACAAGATCGCATATTTTGGCAGAGACGATGGAGAGATTCGTAACACTGGCTCAGACACTAGATCAGCGAGGGACATTCGAGTTTAGAATTAGGAGCTGGCGTGCGCGCGAAAGAACCGAAGGAGATGCTCGGTTCGGCTTTTGAATAATCAGTGGCGTGCTAGGGGCTCAGTAATCAGCGGTGTAACTGGATCACCCCGCTGACTACTTCATAGTAAGTAGTATGAATCTCCTGCCTGTCTTGTGTATCACTCACTGTCGACGTCATGTCCGTTTTGCTGACCGTTTGACCACTCATGTGCCTTGGATGGGAACAAATTCCTTTCAGTGCTTTCTTACTAGTTCTAAATTCACTCGAAAATTTATTTCAACTTACTATGAAAGCACCCTTTTGAGTACCAAACAAAACGATTTATTTTTATTATTTATTATTACACACCACCTTTGGTCTAGCGGGCGGTACTGTGGCAGCCCGCTCCCTCGGTCGCCGTCGCTTCGTCAAGCCTTCTTTCCGACTCACTTTCCCTATCGTTTTGCTGTTGGAACCGCACAAGACTTGGCAATAGCCTAGGGAGGGCTCGAAGTCAATCAGCGCTCCTCATTTTCCAATTATCTATGGGCGAGTACAACTTAGGCGGATCAACAATTCAAACACGCGCTGGGGGCTAAGGGCAGCAGCGGCGAACACTGGCACACACGTCTGAAGAGATGGCTAGCGGCAAGTGCCTGCTGAGCTTCTCGTACACCCTTTCGCATCAGAAAGCTTGTCCATTCTAATATGTCTTCTCTGACCTGTAATTCAGGAACCCTTATGTTGTCAACAGTCATATTTCAACAGTTGGTGACCCCGCCGTGATGCAAAAACTCATCCGAAGTTAAGTTACCGGGGTTGAATTTCGAAGACAAATTCGCATGCCGTGTCGTTATTTGCGAATTCAAGGGGGAAGATATGGCTTGTGACAGAGGTATACTGGGGAGGATGTCGGGGTGCTGGGACTGATAGAGAGACTGCTCTGCCGGCTTAGACCTGGACAATGATTTTGACTTGATGGACTGAGGTCTTTTTATGATATTCCTTCCCACTCAGGACGATGTGTCACCAACTGCGTTTTTCCATCCACGGACATGATAGGCAGCACCGACATAACGGCGGGACGTAGTCGCGTGAGAATTTCATGATTGCATTCAGCCACGTCTAAAATTATGCTTCTATCACGTTGGGGTCACCAGTGTTGCACCAATGTTGCTATAGGCAGGGCTTTATCATTGCGGCCTCCACGCCCGACACTGAACAGAAGGAGGTGTTGAGCGCCAGTAAAGATGATATTGTATCTTGGGCAGAAAGATTGGAGAATCGGTTGGAATAGGTTGGCAGCCGGATGAGAGGACACGTCCGGCGCGCCGGAGCGGCATCCCGAGTGAAAATGAAAAATGAGTCGCAGCGCCTTTTGGAAGAGCATACCTGAGCCGAATTTGAAGATGATTGGCCGGTTTAGACAGTTGTGATTAGCCGAACACCAGACTGCCGTCGGTGCGCTCGTGCAAGTATTCGCGAGAGGTGCAGGGTTGCAACAGTCACCTTGAGTAGGGCCAGTACACGCACTCATACCCCTATATCGAAAACTTCTTGGCATCTCTCTTGCTCGCACACACCGCTCCTACCGCGCTCGGT